TGTCTTCTCTTCAGCATTTGCTACTCCATTTGGTATTTTTACAACTGCAAAATATTCAAAATGAAAACAAAACCCTTCAAATTTACCATTGATAAAGATACTAAGACTCCATTCCACTTATATTGAAAGTATATTAATGAATAATGGGATAATTGTTTTCATACTTAACATACAAATCAACTATCAACAAAAAAACTAAATATGTAGGTACTGGGATAACAAATCGATGAAGAGGACGGTAATGTCGAGATCTGTATAGCCAACAAAAAACCCAAATCAATTATTAACAACAAAAAAAATCGATTATCTCCTCTGTGTATCTGCCAAGAGCGATTCCATCAGGGGCGTTTTTGTCTAACTAAGACCAAAAAGAGCAAAATCTCTATCTAATCCCCACATTGTTATTTCTATATCAAGGGTAAGAGAAACAAAACACCAAAAGGGAGCCAAACCAAATAGAAGCAATAGTCGCAACAACTAACAATCAGAAAAAAACAAACAACCAAACATCGGTGGAACGCCAAAGAATAATGGAAACATGAACATAAACAACACTGCCACCAAAAAGAGAAAGAGAAAGTCACGACATCACCAACACGCCACATCACAACAGACAAACCAAGCAAAGCAGACAGACCAGAATGCCCTTGGGGCAGAAAAGTCCAATACGAAACAAAAACGCCAGAATGCAAGAAAAGCATCACCAAGAAAGCCCATTGGGAGATATCGATCAGGACAAGCAGGGGGGATAAAATGTCGCCTACTAAAAGTTGTAATGAAGCATAACCAAAGAAACAAACATGGGCAAAACCAATAAACTGCAACATGCACCTCTCCAAACAACTTGAAAAACACCAAACCACTGTACATTAGATCTGCAAAACAACCGAAAGTAGAAGAAAAAAACACGCACACACCAAGACCCCCCCCCCCCCGCCTCCCAAAAAAAAACGACCCATGAAGAAAAAAAACATGCATGAAGGAATATCAAGATGCAGCAAAAAAAACCAACAAAACGTCTACCCCAAGACGATATGACACCAGGTGGATCTTTGAAAAGTTAGTGTCATAATAATTATAAAAAAAATGCAAAAAAGACTAAATTAAAGAAGGCTTTATCCACTTCGTTATCTATTTCTTGGTGAATTGCCAAAACCTCATCGTATCTTTTTACAAATTAAAGATCTCAGGCTCTTAGTGTGGATATATCAATGAAACAGAGAACCTAAAACAGGAAGCAAATGTAGATTAATTTTTTTATGCAATCCTATGTATATTCTACAGAAGATTTTAACTAATTTATATTATTGTAAATGCATCTTTAAAATTATACTGAACTTTTAATAATTATTAATTTGCACTTCATACAAGAAATAATACCAATTACATATATATAAACATATGAATGAGGAGGGAGGAGTTACCGGTGGATAATGTGATCCATAATTCCATATTTGGCTTTAGTTTCTACAAACATTTAAGAAGTTGTATCAAAAGATGAATTTAAGATACTAACCATTTTTGGTTCCCTGTACAAAAAGAAAAGAAAATGAGTTCAGAAATCTCATTAAATTCCTGTAATTTACTTATTTATTCATAACAGATAACTTGAAAAGTCACTCAAGAGTCAAGACAGTACCATGGAACAACCCCATGTCAAGATCTCTCTCGTTTACTATTTCAATTTCAAAATAATGACAGATTCACTATAAACTCCTATTTAAACATATCTAAACTGACCTTAACTAAGAGTATCACGAAAATGCCTCTCTTAAGCACCTTTACTACAAATACTACACCTTTCACATGTCTGTCAGATCACAGGCTCCCAATCTTATTTCCTCAACTATCTCACGCCATGTGTATCTCTATTCACCATAGTGCTAACATACACCATTGACCAAAATTAGAAAAAATAATTATTTTGATTTTTTAAGAATATTTGAACCAGCCTCTTCTCGTTGACCAACATAACACAAAAAATCACTGAACTGAAAAAGACATGGTCAAAGTAAGTACAAGTGACATTAGGAAAGTCCAAGGCTACTGAAACTATTTTCAATAAGCAACTCACACATATTCAAGATGGATTGCAGCAACAACACAGTAGTTAAATTAATTTTTGGTGATGATTTCAGTCAGGAACCTAATCGATAACATATAGCAGCAGTTTATCATGTGTAAGGGGAGAGAGAGAGAACCTTAAAATCGAACAAAAGAGACGATGACTGGTTTTGTTTTATGGTTTTCCCCCTTCCTTTTAATGGTTAAATCCGAATTTGTTTCCAATGAATTGAACAAACTAAAACTATAATAGTTTTATGGAATTTGTAATTTATAGTTTTGATTTTTATCTGTTAACCAAGCCATCAATGTATGGCAAAATAGATTTCCAATAATAATACTAATAACTAATAACCAATAGCTAGAACTTAAAAGTATAATTTCAAGTATTAACTATTATTTATTTGAAGTAAAAGAGAATAAGAAAAGAGAGTAACGAATGACACAACATTAGTTGTTGAGCTCTTGACAAAGGGTTTGACAAGCTTTAGCATTAACAACCAAGTATACACTGGTATACACTGTATCTAAACCAAAATACAGTGCAATCAAAATTCATACCATTATCGAAACTTACAACTTCGTAGTCATAAACCAAATGAGTACATTATGCATATCCTTGGACATCATAAAATAATAAAATCATATTCGAAAGTAAGAAAGACGGGGAACAGATGGAGTTACAACCAGGACACAACTCGGCACTAACGTCTTGTGAGAATCGTTGATTCATATAGCAACACTTGAACCAAGAATGGAATCTCAAATTCTCGTTCTTCCCATCATTTTGTTCGTTTCCTACAATGGTTTCATCCCCTTCTTTTTCTTTTGCTCTTCCTTTTTCTATCAGTATTTGATGCCGATCCAAAAGATCCAATCTTTTCTATTTTCCTAATTTTCATATTTTTCAGCATCCCAGACTTGTTATCTATCTGGCTTGCATTATTTCCACACAAGTTTTTTTTAGTTGTGTGTGTGTGTGTGGGGGGGTAGGGGTCTTGGTGTTTCACTTGGCCAACTACAAAAAAACAAAGGAGGAGTAGTTTTTATGTAACTTTCATTTAGAATTATTACTTAAAAATTATACTTAAATCCTTAGATTTCTTAATCTTAAATCCTTAGATTTCTTAATCAATAACCTTAATAGAATCGTACTTTATATTATGCCATTCTGATTTTCAATGGTTTTCAGGCATTTTACTTTAAAAGATCTTATTATAGCAATATGTCATCCAAAAAAAGCAAGATATAAAATCATACTTACATATGCTCTTCTTACACATTTGAACCTTTAATATCTTTAGCATCTCCTAAAACACCCTGGTGAAATACAAAAGTAACAATCAGATTCACTATTCTTTAATGATGGTTCTTTTCTATTTAGTAAAATTATAGAAACAATATTCTACCTGATGTTCCATTTGTAAATTCAGCAACACATTTTTGGGATCTGGTCCCAGTTCATCTGTTGAACCAACATCCTTTGGTGCCCAACAGCATCAAGTTTGCCTACTCCAAAGCGACATTCCAAAAATAGAAAACAAAAACAGAAAAGACTTATAAATGTATAGATTTCTATTAATAGAGATTAAAAAAAGTTCAAATATAAACAGTCATGATACCCATTGCCTTAATTATACTTCTAAATTGTAACTTCATAGTCTGTTGTATGTTCCTATTTTCTGAATTTAGCAAATACATGTATAACCAAAGTTAAAACAAACAATATAACCTCTCTACTCCTCAGTAACAATTACATGTTTTTTTGGATCAAGAACATCATCTTTTAGTACAAATACACTGAATGTGTCTGAATCATAAGAAAAAAAATACAAAAGAAATAGATAAATCCTAAATATATAGAGTAAAATAAGTTTGATAAAGGTAAATAGAGATGCTGTGCAACAAATAAGAAAAACTTAAAAAAAAAGCAAACCAGATCCATAGGTTGTTTACTTACTTATGTGGATCGAGAGAAGAAGAGAGAAGAAAGAGATGTGGCCTTGTAGTGGCGAGAGGAAGAAAAACTTGAAAAAAAACCCAACCTTTCTTTGATACCAGAGAGCTCTAAAAGGGTCAAATGCCTGAAAACCACAACCCGAAACACATATTTGATAAATACTCGAGTAAACATCCAAAAGGCAAAAATCAAATAAATGTTTCTCCACATTGAAGCAAAGTATTTACCACAATCTAAAAAAAAAGATTTGTTTTTACCTCAGACCATGGATTTGGTTTTAATAGCTACAAAAATCAAGAAAGCCACGTATCATGGAATTAAACTTGTACTTCAGTTGAGAATTGTCAATTTCGACCACAGAAACCAGGTTGTTCACAGGAAATGAAAAATACCAACACTAAACCAATAGGCAGATAGAAAATATGTCAAACAAAAGCTTCACACCGGTTGATGGCTAACCCTTGTCCAGATTGGAAACAACACCAACAAAAGCCTGAATTTAGATTACTAACGGTACTAATTATGATCGATTTATGAAAGTAAGAATATATATTCTTAAAAATTGTTAACATCAATTTCAATTTTACACAAGATCGACAAGAAATTATGAAAAATATGATCGAATTTTGCATACCTGAATGGTTCCTAGGGAAAAAAGTGCGATTCCGGATGTTGCGGTGAGTGTTGTATTCGATTCCCACGGAGTCGCTGCCGAGTTTCAGTCCGGTGGCCCATCCGGCTACTCCGACGACATAGGCGGAAGCTTGGCAGGTGACGTGGATCAGGTATTTGTGCAAAGGAGGTAGTGGTGGACGCTCGCCACCATGCGCACCGAAGAGATCAGCAACGCCGCCAAGAGAGAGACGGTAGAGATGAGATAGACGATAGAGATTTGGTTTGCTTTGGTGAGTATGGATCGATTCTGAAGCGATTTGGAAGGATATGGAAAGAAGAGGATTTCAATTTTCTGATCTGTGATTTTCTCTTTTCTTTCTTGATGATCTTCCTTAACTTCCCCGAGAATCTTGATTGATCGTGGTTGATCTAAGTTTTCTATGGTTACGAAAAAGGTGGACTACATCTTTGGTGGAGACGGATGAGAATTGGTTTGATGGCGGTTTTTGTGTGTTTAGGAGATTAGGGTAAGGTAATACCGCGTACCCTGTAGTGTTAATATGTAACATCCCAAAAATCGGGTCTAAAAATTTCTTTTAAAAACATTACTAATTCATAGCGTTAATACATTCAAACATACTAAAAGGGTTTATATGACAAATCATAGTTTCATTTCCAAAACACTTGTTTAATTGTCAGAGTAAACATCCCAGGCTAACTTGTCATGGTGTGTGCACTGCAATCCTCCCGAGCTCCTCTTCTGAAAACTGAATACCTGAAACCAAAACTGAAAACCGTAAGCACGAAGCTTAGTGAGTTCCCCAACCTACCGCATACCGTACATATCTACTGATCCATACATGCCATACATAATACTGAGCACATAACAACATACTGGGCTCCCGCCCGCTGCAGTGGGCCTTGCCCGCTATCGGACCTTGTCCGTCACCAGGCCCCGCCAGGCTTCGAGCCTCGCTCGGCGTACATATCTGTTTTCCTTAGGCCCCGCCCGCTAACATATACTAGCATACAATCATATCACAACACATAACTAACATACTCTACTAGATTACTATGCTAAGGCCTCGCTTTTCTTGGGCCTCGCCCCTGCTCTGCTGCTAATGAGGTATGGAACACCGTCCACCCTCGCCTATCTTGGGCCTCGCCCCTGTCCTGCTACTGGTGAATCATGGAACCCTGTCCACGCTCCTACTGATAGTGAGATACGGGCCCATCCCACACTCACTCTGATCCTAACTTGGGCCTCGCCCCTACTCTGCTGCTAATGAGGTATGGAACACCGTCCACACTCTGCTATTGGTGAGATACGGGACCTCGCCCACACTCACCTCCCTACCAGGCACATACATGTATCACACAGACAACAAGTATAACTATCATACAAACCATTCCTTGGGCACCCGCCCGCTAACATTGGACCTTAGTCCCGAATGCCATACTAGCATATTGTGCCTATGGCTAACCCCCGGGTCTTCCTACTCATAACTATATGGGCCGGCATTGTGGACGTAGACCCATTCACACAAAGGGAAACTCACCTCGAACTGCTGATAACCCTTTGGCTGCTGTCCGACGACTCTCTGAACCGCTGCTCCTCTAGCTCCCCGAGCTACCAATACCAACAATAACAATTAGCCTAACTGTCCTCCAGAAGTCAACTAGGTCAACTCTGGTCAAGGTCCTTCTCAAGGTCAAAGTCAACGGTCAGAGTCAACTTCCAGTTGACTCGACTCGCCGAGTTCATCCTTGAACTCGTCGAGTTCATCATCATCGTATGAATGTCTAGACCATGACTTGTCGAGTTGTATGAACAACTCGTCGAGTTCATCTTCATAACTAAGAAGATTGTCTTGGACTCGCCAAGTTCCTCTTCGAACTCGTCGAGTACCATGATCTTCATGTCCATAACGGACCCACCCTGGCTGAATCCTTTACTAACTCTACTCACTGATCCGAAGCACAAACAGAAGGGTTTGGGTTTGCGACCCGACTCGCCGAGTCCATGAACTGACTCGCCGAGTCCATCTTGTGGCATCTCAATTTTGTCAATTACATACCATCCCAACACCTCCAACTCATAGATCTGGACTCCTTACGCTAGCATTGCACGTAAAGTTGCTAACTTTACGTGCATGCAAGGTGTTATGGGGCTAAAACACTTAATC